GCTGAGGCTGAGGCTGAGGCAGGCTGAGGCTGAGGCAGGCTGAGGCTGAGGCTGAGGCAGGCTGAGGCTGAGGCTGTGACTGCGACTGCCGTTGCCGCTGCGACTGTCATCGCGAATGCGACTACGACTGCGAGAACAGCAGAATTCTACAACTGGATTTTTATCTGAATCTTAAGGGGAATGCTTTCAGATATGCTGCTACACATCGCTGTTAGGTTGCTTTGCCGGGATAATTTTTCCCCAATCAGTGATTACACTGAATGCGGTTCTAGCGGATCTTGAAGGATTTGGCGAAAGTGGCGGCCGATTTCGGTAGGCCGCGGGGGTCTCGGGTTCCTGGTTCGAGGTTCCCAGGTTCCTGGTTGCTGGTTCCAGGCCGATTTCGGTGGGCGGCGGGGTTCTTGGGTTACCTATCCCGGGTTCCGAGCCTATTTTGTCGATCTCCTTATCAATCGGTCTCACTATCGATCTCCAGACCCACCTCCCTATCGATCTCACAATCGATCTCACGATCTATCTCACAATCGCTCTCACTATAAACCACACGAGCGATCTCACGATCGATCTCACTACCGATCTCACTGAACCGACTTCACTATCGGTCTCACGATCGACCTTATTATCGTCCTAACTATCGATCCCACTATCGATCTCACCGTCGCTCTCACAATCGATGCCCCCGGGACCTGTCGGCGCTGAAGGGCCAAAGAGGTTGTGGAACACGGAGTCGTGGTACAGGGTGAGTGTGCGCAGAGGCTCGAGGGCTCCAGCACGGCCCTCAAAAGTAGCTCCCCCCCTCTTCTTTGGGCCTCCCAGATGGGGTCGGAGTGGGGTCGAAGGATCTCGGCGCATCGCCGATGCATTGCCGATGCATCGGCGATGCGGCCCGATGTGGATACCGAGTTTCTCCACGCTGACGTCGCTGATGCATCGCATCGCCGATGCATCGCATCGCCGATCAATCGTCAATGCATCGACGATGCGGCGCGATCCCCCGACCCCGCCTACTCGGACCCCATCCAGGAGGCCTCTATCTTCCCGGTTCCTCACTCGTCGTTCCTACGGCCGGGATCTTTTTGGACAGCGTGTCGCTCCGCTTGTTCTGGCCCACCTCGCTTCGGCGCAACACGCTATCCACGTCCCCAGTTTTTGGCATCGCTCGGACGTGTGCAGTTTTTCCTCGGCGAGGGCCATTGAGGAGCACCTTGGACCGTTTGCGAAAAATCACCGCACGAAATCGAAACACATATCTGAAATGGACGTCCGAGCGATGGCAATATTTCCAACCGCCAATGCCCCGAGCCTTTCCGGGCCTCTCGCCCCACGGAGCGGAGCGCAACGCTATCCGCTTGCAGAGCATAGCGTGTCGCCTGGGCCGCCGCCGCGACACGCTAAGCACACGATCGCGAATGAGCCCCCTCCAGACGATTCCGAAGGCCCGCTGGCGGCCTCCACGGAGGTTCCAGGAGGTGGAAGAAGAGCCGTAAGTGCCCCACCTCCGCGATCTTCGAACCTCGAACCTAGAATCTAGAATCTCAAAGCTCGATGCTCGATCCTCGAGCCTCGAGCCTCGAGCCTCGAGCGTCGACGATGTGGCGAGCGGCAGCACCAGGGGCAGGGCCACGGCGAGGGTGACGAGCAGCAGCAGGAGGAGCAGAGAGGCCTATGCGAAAGGGAGGCCCGGAGGGCCGAAGTTCCGAGTTCCACTCTCTGCACATCACGGGGCCCAGCGGCCACGCTACGGCCGCCAGCGGTGTGGACCTTCCAGCTGGCAAGAGTTCGGCCAGGAGGCGAGGAGGCGGGGAACGGCGGGGAACGGCGGGGGGGGCGGGGAGGGGGCCTGCGCCGCGCCGCAGCACCGCCGGGGTGCCGACGGACGCCCGGGTTAGCAAGCGGTGCCCGTACCAGGGCAGGCGAGCGATGCTTCGAGTAGGGGATCGACTACAGAATCGATTTATCCCGAAATTGAATTCCCGTCGAACCTACGAAGATCTACTGATTATCCTACGTACACGTCTCACGGGTTCGACGAGAAAACCAATGTTGGGGTAAATCTGTTATGTAGTCGATCCCCTACTCGAATGCCGGGGCTCGACGGGGTCTGCGAGCCCGGGCCTCCAACGCCTTACATTATCTGGGCGAGAGACCCAGCCATATGCCATTGGGAGTACTGCGTTGTGGGTACCGCTTCCGGTGGAGCTCCCTTTTGGGCCAGGAAGCGTGTGAGAGCTTAGCCGAATTGAGCGCAGTGGTGCCGTGGTGCCATGCGAACGCAGCCGTTGGGGCCTTCGACGAAGCTGCGCATGGGACCACGAAACGTGCGAGTGGTGTGCCGATTCGGGAGCAGCGGTGCCGTGCGAACGCAGCCTTTAGGGCTCTCGTTGGAGCTCCCTATGGGCCACGAGACGTGTAAGGGATGTGCCGAAACGAGTGCGGCGGTGCCCTGTGAATGCTGCCGCTGCGGCCTTCGGTGGAGCTTCATATTGGGGCCACGAAACGTGAGAGGGGTGTGCCGAAACTGGTGCGGCGGCGCCATGCGAACGCAGCGACTGGGGCCTTCGTGGAGCTCCCGATGGTGCCACGAAGCGTGGAAAGGGTGTGCTTAAACGGGCGGGCGGCGCCATGCGAAAGCAGCCTTTGGGGCCTTCGGTGGGGCTCCCGATGGGGCCACGAAACGTGTGAGTGGTGTGCCTAAACGGGCGCGACAGTGCCATGCGAACGCAGCCACTTTGGCTTTCGGTGGAGCTCCTACAGGGTGTGGCGAAACGGGTGCGGTAGTGCCATGCGAGCGAAGCCATTGGAACCTTCTGTGGGGTTCCCGTAGGGCCGCGCAACATGTGAGGGGTGTGCGGTGGAGCTCCCTATGGGACCACGGGACGTGTGAGAGTGTGTCGACATGGGCGCGGCGGCGCCATGCGAGCGCAGCCACTTGAGTTTTTGGGACAGCCCCCTATAGGGCCTCGAAGCATTTGAGGGGTGTGCCGAAACGGTCGCGGCGGTGCCATGCGAACGCTCCACTGAGACCTTCGGTGGAGCTAACCAACGGGCCATTAAATGTGTGAATGGTGTGGCGAAGTGGGCGCGGTGGTGCCATGCACGCGTAGCCATTGGAGCCTTCGGTGGAGTTTCCCACAGGCCCACGAAACGCGTGATGGGTGTGCCGAAATGTTTGACTACGGAGGGTAGAGGCAGGGATGGGAGGGGGGAGGCAGGAGGAGGTGAGACGCGGGGCGCTGTCTCTTCGAAGCGAGGACCCAACACCACAGGATTGCTGGGACGAGATCAAGAAGAGGAAGAGGAGCTGAGGAAGGGGACAACGACAACGAGAGAAGAGCGGCGATCCACGTAGCCTCGGCCCGCGAGCCGTCGGCGGCGTCGGACGCGGCGTCGTCGGCGACGACGCCGGAACTGTTGCCGCCGTCGCCGTCGCCGTCGACATCGCTGCTCCGCTCCGCACGCAGAACTCCACACGCAGTGCTCCGCTCGACGCCGCCGCCGCTTGGTCAGCCGAGCGGGCCCTGTCGGCCGCAGGCGGTCAGTGCAGCACGCCCGCGGTCTCCACACGGGAACTTGGAGATCGTCGACGTCGGTCTGTCGGCTCTCGGGCCCGTCGGCCGCCGTCGGCGCCGTCGGCCGCCCGCGTCGACGGCGTTCGGACGGGGCCAGGACGAGGGTAAACTCGTTCCGGAGCGCTCTCAGAGCGTGACCCGATCGCTCCGAGAAGGCCGCGGCGCCCGAGGCGTTCTCCAGAGCCCGCCGGATCCCAGAGATTCTCGATATATCCTCACCCAATTTTATCCTGGTCCTGGCTTGAGGGGCCGATTTTCCACCACCACTACCATAGGCAGGAGAGGGAGGCGGGAGGAGGAGGAGGAGGAGGACCAGTGTAAACCCAAGAGTCACCAACGATGTTGGAATAAACCCTCCCTCCAAGCCCCCCCTTCATAGGCCCCTACAACGGTTCATTGCCATTGAAGGGGCTGCCTTTTCGGAAGACAACCGTTTGAAGACCCTGAAGCATGCCAAAACAATGTTCTCGGGATTCCAACGCCACGGTTCAACTTAACTATTGCGTCTTGACAATCCTGAATCGTGCCAGAACGCCATTCCTGTCATTTCAACACAGCGATCAACATAACTGTTGCACCCACGTAATCCTGAATCCGTTCAAAACACCATTTCTGGCAAGTTGATGATGGGAACCAATGGGACCCTTGCAAATATTTATGGACGTCGCGCTAAGGCGAGAGCCACATTTTGGAAAAGGAACCGCCCTCAATTCGTGAAGCTCTTGGATTTTGTTACAACGAACGTGCGCCGCGCTAAGGCGAGAGCCACATTTTGGCAAGGAACCAGCCCTCAATTCGTGAAGCTCTTGCATTTTGTTACAACGAATGTGCGCCGCGCTGAGGCGAGAGCCACATTTTGAAAACCACCCGCCCTCCATCCGTGAAACACTGGCAAATTGGTACAACGAATATGCGCCCCGCTGAGGCGAGAGCCACATTTTGAAAACCACCCGCCATCAATCCGTCAAGCTCTTGCAAATGTTAAAACCGAGTACGCGCCGGGCTAAGGCGAGAGCCACATTTTGAAAAGGAACCGCCCTCAATCCGTGAAACTCTTGCAAATCTTCACCACGAATTGGCGCCGCGCTAAAGCCAGAGCCACATTCAGCCCTCAATCCGTGGACCTGTTGCCATTGTGCAAAATTCGGAATCATAAATGGTGAGGAAGTCTCAAGCGAAACGCCCGGCCCGCCCTAAAGACTGGCCTCGGGCGCGACAGGGAGAAGTTATTTACCAGGGAAAGGAATGAAGGAGGAGGAGGAGGAGGAGGAGGAGGAGGAGGAGGAAAAGGAGGAAGAGGAGGACCTCCCCAGCCTCCCTCCTCCACCAGCCTACTTCTGGTAGTGGTGGTGGAGAATTGGCCCATCATGGCTGGCTTCGTCTCAGGCGCCGCAGCGGGCAGGGCTCCGCGCGGCCGCGACGCCTCGCCAGGACGCCGCCGACCGCGTCGGCCCCCCGCGGTGGCCCTGTCGGCGGCGCCGCTCCGCGCGGAGCCCGCCCTCGCAGCGTGGGGCCCCGCCCCGCGCCGCCGCCGCCGCCGCCGTCGGCGGCCGACGCCGCCGCGGACGATGCCGCGGACGATGCCGCGGACGCCGCCGACGCCGCCCCCGCCGACGCCGCCGACGATGCCGCGGACGCCGCCACCGCCGCCGCGGACGCCGCCGACGATGCCGCGGTTACGAGCGTCGCTGTCGGATTCGAGTTCCTGGGGCATGTCTTTTGGAAGGCCTGGGCGAGAACGGCCGTGATCGGCCCTCGCCCTAACCCACTCTCCGAATCACGTCACGCCGTCTTGCCCACATTTGCGGAGTGATGTCCTACGGACTCTTTTCAGGACTTCCCAAGATTTCCGGCGGCCCCCCGCCGTGACGCGATCGGGGGGGACGACCCCCCCTCTCACGGTCACGCTCGTTCTCGCGAATCATAGAAGAACAGGCTCCCAGGAGCCCGTCGTATGTAGACGCTCGAGCTCTAGCGATGGCAGTTCGGAGCTCAGGGGGGGTGTTCGTCATTCATCTTTGTATATGTGCGCACTGTAGGTTGGCGGCAAGCGAGGAGGGAAAGTGAGAAGGGGTGGGCCTTCTTAGAAGGCTCAGAAGTCCTCTGGCCTTCTGAGAATTTTCTAAGCCTTCCCCGAAGCCACAGAAAACGTTGTGGGCCAGAACCGGCGGCGCAACCCACAGTTCCTGCCCGTAGAGCCTTGGCAACCTGGTGGCATTCGGGCAATGCCTCGGGCCTGTGGCGGTCGTTCCGGGCGATTCTTGTACCCCTTGAACGCCTTGGCGGCGAGGCGCAGCTGCTCAAAGGCATCCCAATGCATCCCGCGAGCCAACCAGAACTTCTGAAAAAAGCGATTCTCAACGTCAATATCCAGACACGGGAGGTCCTGTGTTGTCCAATGCGCAGTTCCCGGAAGACCCGACCCTTTCCCCAGGACCGGTTTCGCAGCCTGAGTCGTTTCTCGTCTTGAGTCTGGAAGCCTAAGATGGGCAATAACCTTTCGTCGCCATTTTTAACGACGCGCTCATGTGTGGGTACGCGCAGACGACCGTAAGACGGATCGACGCGGCTGTATGCAAGAGTGGCCCTAGGCAGAAGTGGCCCTGGGAACGCGGCCCACCGGCAGTTGCGCGCGGTGTGACAGCAGCGGTTTGCGTGCTTGGGCTTGGCCCCGCAGCGCCCCCCGACAGCCGCGCACCAAGGGTCACTCCGGCGAAGGGTCACTCCCCAGACAAGGTCGCGTCGCTCAAACGAAAAAAACAACGACGGGAGATGTTCCCCATTTTCTGCATTTTGGGCCCCCCGCCAGAACCCGGGACTGTCAAAAGACTCTTCAGGATGACTTCTGGCGGCTGCGCATTGAAATGATCAGGACGTCGCAAGTCTGAGTCTCACGTGCAGCCGATCGACGCCCCCAAAATTAGCGAACGAAAAACGCTATTCATTAATAATTCTCTGCCGCCAGGGACGCTTGCCCAAGGGCGGCTGACAAGTTTAGACCCTTTCCGTGGCACGTCAGGGCGGCGACGACAACGTGTGGTTCTCACACTTTTCATGCTTCCCATAATTCCCATAATTCCCATAACTCCCATGTTTCCAATAGTTCCCATAATCCCAACTCTTCCCACAATTCCCGTATTTCCATAATTCATTGGTCCGAAAGATACCCGTACCCGGGGCCAGCCAAGGTGAGATGGGCCGGCCGGGGGACTGGGCGCTTGCTATTGTGCCCGGTCAGCTTGCCCCGCGCGCGCCAGTGCAGCATCCGCGCGTGAAGACGCAACGGATCGCTCGATGGCTGGGTGTCTGATTGCAGCGAGAAGCGCTGGTTTTTGTTAGGGACGTCTCGGGGCATCGTGGTGCGTGCGCGGTTCAAAGCCGCCCATATGTGGCGGCGCCTGTCCCAATCGATAAAGAGTTGTATTTCCTCGCTATCCTGGCAACCAATGCGTCTGGGCCTGCGCTGGGGAACGACGTTGCAATGTCGCGCCCCCAGGGGGCCGCAGCGGCCACGTCGGGGACGGCTCTGGCGGGCATGATATGTGTGCGAGAGCGTTTTGGGCCTGCCGCCACCTCGGCTAGGTACGGGGACCTGCCTGAAACCACCGGAAAATACCCGGACCTAGCTGGGGTGAGCTGCGGCACCCCGGCTAGGTACGGGTATGTTCTTTGGGTTTTCATGGGGCAACCGTACCTAGCTGGGGTGATCCGCAGACGGCCGTCCAAGGGGGGCGGCTTCTGGCGACCTCGCCCAGGGCACAGATTCGCGATGTCTCTGCATTGAGCAATTCGCGATAGGGCGGTTGTCGCGCAATGACGTTCGCGCCAGAGTTGTTCGCATGCGCCCCCGAGTGCGCGTTGACTCCTCAACGCCCGGATGTGTGTCTGGGGGCGCGCCTCCGCAGTAGCTGGTCTACATCGACAACAACCAACGCAGGGTCGGGCACTCCGCCGATTCGAACGCACGTGCGATCGGTGCTAACGTGCGCCCCGAGAAGACAGCGGTGTGTAATGCTCGATCGGCTGTCGTTTCTACACTTGTGCAGCCGCCGTCAGCTGCGACGAACCGCCCCCCCGGCCCCTTGCCACCTTGCCTAGGTAAGGGTACGGGTATCTTTCGCGGTCGAGAATAATTGCCATACTTCCAATAGTTCCGATTCTGTCCACAATCTTTCATCATCCCCACCATCCGCATACGTGCCCTATTTTCCACACCGCCCAGAACTCCAGTATTTGCCAATCGTCAAATAATGCACTTCATTCCCACAACCCGCATCATTCCATGGATTCTCATAATCCACATCATTCCCATCACCCTGATGACTCCTGTAGTTCCCATGACCCCCATGACCCAATACCTCCTTTCCCATAATGGTTCCAAGAGGCCCGAAAACAACCCGAAGATGTTCGCGGAAGGCTCTCCAGAAACGTCTCCCAGGAACCAATGTTGCCTCCCTGATCGAGGCCCGAAGGCGACTCCCGAAGATGTACCCTGAACATTTTCCAGAAACACCTTGAACCCCATCCCTCCTCCTTCTGCTCCACCTCCTCCTGCTCCTCATCCCACTCCTCCTCCTCCTCCTCTTCCTCCTCCTCCTCCTCCTTCTGCTCTTCCCCCCCAAGACGCCCTAGACCCCCAGACTGGCTCCAGATAGGCCTCTGGCACGCTCCAGAGGAGACCCAACGAGCCCTAGGAGGGATCATGGAGGCCCGAAGACGACGCAAAGAAACCGCCAAAAGGTTCCAAGAGGCCCGACGAGACCCCCGAATATGCTTCCCGCAGGCTATCTGGAAGCACCTTCCGGGAATCCATGCGCGGGGCCTCCCGCGGGTGGTCCGCCGTCACGACGCCCCTGGGATTTTCTGAAGGCTGCCGGGCTGCCGTCGTCGTCGTCGTCGCGGTCGTCGCGCGCGCGTGGTTGTAGTACCTATCTACACACATATATATATATATATATGTATACAAGTCAAGTCAAGTCACCCCGCTCGCACGAGGGCGGGCCCATATAGGGCGCGAGGGAAAAACAAGTTACAGTGCAAGCAGGAAGCGGCGGGCGTGCTCACTCGCAGAAATCCCAGAAGTCCTCCGTCACGGCTTCTTGCCACGATCCAATGTGATTTGTTCGGCAAAAAGCCACCAGCTTCTCATCCCACGACATGAGAGGACGACCCTGTGAGCGCGACCCAGGCGGTGTCCAGCGCAAGGCTCTCTGCACCCATCGCTCTGGAGGTAAATTCGCAACATAATATGCAAAAGCCCAATATTTCTTTCGGGATTCTCTCGACCACGTGCGAATGCAATGTTGGGTCAATGCTTGATTGAGCCGCTCGTGCCAGAGGTGTAAGATTTCATGCCAAGGCTGCGACCAGTCCACGCCGGCAGGCGGACCAACAACTTGCCGCAACAATCGCCTGAATTCCACGTCAACTTTATGCAGTGAGTCCCTGTACGGCTTCCATACACAAGCCCCGAAGCACGCCACAGACGTTACGACGCGGCCGAAAAACTCGAGGCGGGCAGTAAGAGAAACATTCCGGTCGCATAATATGGCCCTGTTTGCAAAGAAAGCTTTGTTCGCGGATGCCAGATGATATTCCACGTCCAGATGGTGCGTTCCAGAACCACCGACTGCCAGCAAACATCCCAACCACTTGTGGGCGGCACTCTGGGGCAACACTTGAATCTCCGCGCCGGCCCGCGTGGTGATTTGCGGCGGAGGTTGCGCCTCTGTTGTCATTACCACCGTCTTGGCCGCATTCAGAATCAATCCAACTTTTGCCAACTCCTCTACCAGTGTGTCCAGCAGCAGTTTGGCTTCGCCCGCTGTCTTGGCGAACAATAGAATGTCGTCGGCGAAACGTAAATCTATGAGCGGCCGTAAACCGTCTTCAAAATCAAATCCCAGGTCTGCGACGCGAGCTCTCCAAGCGCGCATGGCCCACTCCAGAACAGCTGCGAAAAGTACAGGGCTGAGTACGCACCCTTGGCGAACGCCTGCATTGATGGGAAAAGTTTGGCTCTTGGCCCAATCGCCCAAGATCTAATTCTCTCGCGCGTAACGGTTGTTACCTGGGCTACCCACCCCCACAGGGAACGGCAACGATCGTACGCAGGGGGGGGCTTGCACCCCCCGACATGCTGGTGCTCGCGCGCTCACGATGGCGATCGCAGCGCACCCCCGTCCCACCGGGGCCCCCTGCTCCTAGGTAACGGCTGTTATCAGACATGGTTGAACAAAGAGTATCCAAAGCGTTTCGGAACGCATTCAAAGCGATCCGGGGCGCTCTGCTAAATCCGCGGCGCCCGATACATTCTCCAGAATCGCCGGATCGCAGAGATCCCCGATGTGTCCCAGTCCGATGTTGTCTGGTCCTGGCTTCGTCTTAGCTCAGGCTCAGAGGGGGAAGGCATCGATCCTTAAAATTAGCATGGCGAAGGACCCAACCATATGCAGTTGTGAGTACCGTCTTAGTGAGCAACGCATTCGGTGGGGCTCCCTATAGGGCCACGAAACGCTGCCCTGGGTGCGGGAACCGCATGCGAACACCCCCAGTGGGGCCTTCGGTGGAGCTCCCCATGGGGCCACGAAGCGCTGCCCTGGGTGGGGGAGAGCATGCGGGCGCCCCCACTGGGGCATTCGGCGGAGCTCCCTATGGGGCCGCGAAACGCTGCCCTGGGTGGGGGAACCGCATGCGCCCCCCCCCACTGGGGCCATCGGCGGAGCTCCTTATGGGGACACGACACCTGCCCTGGGTGGGGGAACCGCATGCGACCCCCCCACGGGGGCCATCGGCGATGTTCCCCATGGGGCCACGAAACGCTGCCCTGGGTGGGGGAACCGCATGAGACCCCCCCACACTGGGGCCATGGGCGGAGCTCCTTATGGGGACACGAAACGCTGCCCTGGGTGGGGGAACCGCATGCGACCCCCCCACTGGGGCCATCGGCGGAGCTCCCTATGGGGCCACGAAGCGCTGCCCTGGGTGGGGGAACCACATGCGACCCCTCCCACTGGGGCCATCGGTGGAGCTCCCTATGGGGGCACGAAACGATGCCCTGGGTGGGGGAACCGCACGCGACCCCCCCCACACTGGGGCCATCAGCAGAGCTCCCTATGGAGCCACGAAGCGCTGCCCTGGGTGGGGGAATCGCGTGCGACCCCCCCCCACACGGGGGGCATCGGCGGAGCTCCCTATGGGGACACGAAGCGTTGCCTTGGGTGGAGGAACCGCATGCGACCCCCCCCCCCCCAGTGGGGCCATCGGCTGAGCTCCCTATGGTGACACGAAATGCTGCCCTGGGTGAGGGAACAGCATGCGACCCCCCCCCTCCATTGGTGCCATCGGCGGAGTTCCCTATGGGGCCGCGAAACGCTGCCCTGGGTGGGGGGAAACGCATGCGACCCCCCCACTGGGGCCATCGGCGGAGCTCCCTATGGGGCAACGAAGCGTTGCCCTGGGTGGGGGAACCGCATGCGACCCCCCCCCACTGGGGCCATCGGCGGAGCTCCCTATGAGGACACGAAGCGCTGCCCTGGGCGGGGGAACCGCATGCGACCCCCCACTGGGGCCACTGGCGGAGCTGACCCTATGGGGACACGAAGCGTTGCCCTGGGTGGGGGAACCGCACGCGGACCCCCCCACTCACTGGGGCCATCGGCGGAGCTCCCTATGGGGACACGAAGCGCTGCCCTGGGTGGGGGAACCGCATGCGACCCCTCCCCCACTGGGGCCATCGGCGGAGCTCCCTATGGAGCCACGAAGCGCTGCCCTGGGTGGGGGAACCGCATGCGACCCCCCCACACTGGGGCCATCGGCGGAGCTCCGTATGGGGACACGAAACGCTGCACTGGGTGGGGGAACCGCGTGCGACCCTCCCCAGTGGGGCCATCGGCGGAGTTCCCTATGGGGCCGCGAAACGCTGCCCTGGGTGGGGGGACCGCGTGCGACCCCCCCACTGGGGCCATCGGCGGAGCCCCCTATGGGGACACAAAGCGCTGCCCTGGGTGGGGGAACCGCATGCGACCCCTCCCCCACTGGGGCCATCGGCGGAGCTCCCTATGGAGCCACGAAGCGCTGCCCTGGGTGGGGGAACCGCATGCGACCCCCCCACTGGGGCCATCGGCGGATCTCTCTATGGGGACACGAAACGTTGCCCTGGGTGGGGGAACCGCATGCGACCCCACCCCCATTGGGGCCATCGGCTGAGCTCCCTATGGGGCCACGAAGCGCTGCCCTGGGTGGAGGGGGAAACGCATGCGACCCCCCCCCCCCCCCCCACTTGGGCCATCGGCGGGGCTCCCTATGGGGACACGAAGCGTTGCCCTTGGTGGAGGGACCGCATGCGACCCCCCCCCACGGGGGCCTTCGGTGGAGCTCCCTATGGGGCTACGAAACATGTGAGTGGTGTGCCGAGAGCAGATACAGAGAGGGGGAGGAGGGAGGAGGGGGAGGAGGGAGGAAGGAGAGACGCGGGGTACCGTCTCTTCAAAACGAGGACCCAACACCACAGGATGGTTGGGAATAGTCGCACATCGAGCGCAGATAGGGAGCTTGATAGCCAACGCCGTCCAGGAAAGTGCGGATCTGCTATCGGCTATCGGAGGCTTCTCGCTGATCCATCGGCGATGTTTCGCCGATTCCAGATCGATGCCTCCCTCGACAGTGCCAATCCCCCCCTCCTCGTTGCCCCACATCGATGGATGCAGTGACCGATGGCCGAGATTCGAGAGCGGGGGGTCTAAATTCGAGGTGTCAGCGTTTTCGTATTTCCTTTCGCCTTAATATGGCTTCTGAGACTTCGGAGGCCTCTGCTGGTCGGTATCGATCGCCGCAACCGTCGCCGCCAACGCCGCCGCCGCCGTCGTCGTCGTCGTCGTCGTCGTCGTCGTCGTCGTCGTCGTTGCCGTCGCCGCTCTCATCGTTTTCCTCGTCGTCGTCCTTATCCTCCTCCTCCTGCTCCTCCTCCTCTCGGTGGGAGGGGAGGGCCGTTTCCCACCTCCCCTCATCTGTTCCCCCGTCTCCCTCTCGCTTTTTCTCCTTCTTCTCCTTCCCAGTGGATAATCAAGAACAGCGGGAGGGCAGGAGGGGAAAAGGCGGAGCAGGGAAAAGAGGAAGAGGACACTTCACAGTGGGGAGCGGGACTAGAGAGAGGTCCCTGCAGCTCGAGACCTTGCATAAGAGGAGGAGGAGGAGCGGAGGAGAAGAAAGAAAGTGGAGGATGACGATGGTGATGATGAGGAGCATGAGCAGGAGCAGAGGAGTGAGAGGTAAAACCGAACGGCCCACCACCCACCCAACGGATGTTGCCAGTGTTGGTTTTTTATTGTCGGATGAGTTCTTATCCGTGTGTTGCGCCGTAGGGCACGAATGATCCCTCCTGGATGTGGGAAGGTTGAGGCGGAGGAGGAGGAGGAGGTGGGAGGTGGGATGTTTCAGGGAGGAGGCGCAGCATTATGAGGTGGCGGATAGCAGGACGTCGTCATTATCGTCGTCCGCCGTAGCATCCGCCGTCGTCGTCCGCCACCGCAGCCGGCGGCGTCGTTATCATCCATCGTCCGCCGTCGTCGTCTGTCGTCATCATCGTCGTCGCCTTCGGTGTCGCCCGTCGTCGTCATCGTCTTCGATCGTCCGCCGTCCGTCGTCCTCGCCATCGTCGCCGTTGTCGCCGCCGTCGTCGTCGTCGCCGCCGCCGCCGCCGTCGACCGTCCGCCGTGGCCCCCGGCGACAGGCCAGGCGCGGGAGGCTGGCGACACTGCTGGGCGCGGTTGCGGCTGCCGGCGCGCTGGCTGCTCCTGGGCGGCTCAGCCGCCCTTTTTCTGGCTTTTCTGGCCGCCTGTCTCCCGCGACCGCGTGTCGTGAAAAACTAGCATGGCGAAGGACCCAACCATATGCAGTTGTGATTGCAGCAGTTGTGGGCGTCGTCTTCGGTGGAGCTCCTTGGCCACGAAACGCTGCACTGGGCGGGGGTCCCTATGGGCCACGAAACGCGGTGCTGGTTGGGGGAGACGTATGTGACGGTGCCACTGTGGCCTTTGTTGGAGATCCCCATGGGGCAATGAACCGTGTACTGAGTGGGGGGAGACGCACGCAGAAAGTGCCACTGAGGCCTTCGGAGGAGCTGCCTACGGGGCCACGAAATGTTGTACTGGGTGGGGGGGATGCATGCGGGCGGTAGCACTGGGGCCGTCGGTGGAGTTCCCGATAGGGCCACGAAACGTTGTACTGGGTGGGGGGGGACGCATGCGGGCGGTGGCACTGGGGCCGTCGGTGGAGCTGCCTATGGGGCCACGAAACCTTGCACTGGGTGGGGGGGACGCATGCGGGCTGTAGCACTGGGACCTTCGGTGCAGCTCCCTATGATCCACCAAGCGTTATACTGGGTGGGGAGGACGCATACGGGCGGTAGCGCTGGGATCTTCAGTGGAGCTCCCCATGAGGGCCACGAAGCGCTGTACTGGGTGGGGGGGCGCATGCGGGCGGTAGCACTGGGGTCGTCGGTGGAGCTCCATGTGGGGCCACGAAGCGCTGTACTGGGTGGGGGGGACGCATGCGAGCGGTAGCACTGGGACCTTCGGTGGAGCTCCCTATGGGGCTACGAAGCGCTGTATTGGGTGGGGGTGACGGAAGCGAGCGGTGGCACTGGGACCTTCTGTGGAGCTGCCTATGGGGCCACGAGGCGCTGCACGGGGCGGGGGGGGGGCATGCGGGCGGTAGCATTGCGGCCGTCGGTGGAGCCCTGTATGGGGCCAATACACGCTGTACTGGATGGGGGGGACGCATGCGGGCGGTAGCACTTGGACCTTGGACCTTCGGTGGAGCTCCCTATGAGACCACGAAAGCGCTGCACTGGGTGGGGGGGGCGCATGCGGGCGGTTGCATTGGGGTCGTCGGTGGAGCTCCCTATGGGGCCACGAAGCGTGTGAGGGGTGCCAAAGTGAGGGGGGTGACAGGAAGAGGGAGGAGCGGGAGGAGGAGGCGGGAGGGAGGGAGGGACGCGGGGCGCTGTCTCTTCAAAACGAGGACCCAACATCACAGGATGGTCGGGGAAAGCGAGAGCGTTCCGAGGTTGCCCGCATCCTCCCGAGCGGTCGCCGGAGACCCGAGCTACGTCCCGAGAAATCAAACCTCGTCCCGTCGTGAAACAGCACGACGGGGGGGGTGGGGCACCAGTGGGCTCTGGGACGGCGGTGCGCGGGAGGCTCACAGGGGGGACGAGTCGGGGGGGCGCGATGTAGACAGTCAAGACGAAGAAAGAGGAAAATGTTCGGATTCGGAGGTGTTTGGAAAGGGTCAGGGGGGCTTTCCGCCGGATCCCCCCCCCTCAGCGAGGTGTTAGAACGAGCTTGGGGTAAGTGATGCAACCTACGCGGTGCAGTTCATGTTGTGCAATGCCGTGCAATGTTTTGTTGTGCGCTCAATTGTGGCACAACCTACGTTGTGCAATCGATGTAGAACAATTGATGTTATGCAATACATGTTGCTTATGTGGTCCAGTCTATGTTGTGCAGTCAACGCTTTGCAATATATGTGGTGCAATCTAGGTGGTGCAATCCATGTGGTGCCATGTATGTGGTGCACTACACATGCGGTGTGCAAACTATGTGGGGTCGACGGCGCGGCGACGAGGCCGCGACGGGGCGGCGACGACGACAGCATAGCCCCCAGACCGCAGCATCGGCCCTCGCTCACACATCACCACTTGCTCCCACATCGCCCCGCCGCAAGCCGTACCTCCCCATACCCCTCCATGCGCCCGCGCACAACCATCACCACACTCACACCCAGTGGACACCCCGTCTCCTTGAACTTAACTCCCTCCGTCTCCAACACAATGCCTAGACACTCAGCCGCCTCCGTCTCTAACACAACATTCAGATACTCGACAACCTCCGTCGCAAACACGCCATCCGGTACTCAACAGGCCCCCGCTGCAAAGCACCAGCCTTAGGAAATCTATTGAAATCCCGATCCCGCCCGCCGCCCGCTGCACGGCCAGATACCCAACGGCCCCCGTCTTCAACACAACACCCAGATACTCAACAGTCTCCGTCTCCAACACCATTCGGTACTCAACAGGCCCCCGCTGCAAGACACCATCCTTAGAAGTTTTACTCGAATGCCGATCCCGCCCGCCCCCCGCCGCCGCCTCTTGGGAGGCTCTGGAGGGCCTCGTGGGAGACTCTCGGGGGCCCCTTGGGGCTTCTTGGGGGGTCTCTTGAGGGCCTCTTGGGGGCCTCTTGGCGCCGAGGACTCGACCTGTCCGTTCGGGTCCTCCGGCTGGTCCCCTCATGGAGAGCCGTCTTGGGGGCCTCTTGGGCCGTCTTGGAGGCCTCCTGGGCCTCTGGAGTATTTTTCATCCGGGGATCCCCAGGGACCTCCCCGCGCGAGCGCGACCTAGCAATATTCAAGCATTCGGATCCCCTTGCCAGAGATCTTGGCAAGCCTTTTGGCCCGTTGGGCCAGCGACTATAACATAAAATCATAATACATAGATAGCATTATCTCTCTCTCTCTACATATGTGTGTGTGCGTGTGTGCATGTGTGTGTGCGTGCGTGTGTGTGTATGTGTGTGTGTGTGTTTGTGTGTGCTGTGTGTGTGTGCGTGTGTGTGTGTGTTTCTGTGCTTGTGTTTGTGTGCTGTGTATGTGTGTGTTTTTGTGCGTTTGAGTGCTCTTGTGTGTGCTGTGTTTGCTGTGTATGTGTGTGTGTGTGCGTGTGTGTGTGGGGGGGAGGGCGTGTGTGTGTGTGTGTGTGTGTGTATTTGTGTGTGTGTGTGTGTGTTTGTGTGTGTGTGTGTTTGTGTGAGTGTGTTTATGTGATTTTTCGCCGGCCCAACGGGTGAGGGAGCCTGGGCCCCCGAAACCGGTGCGCCATCGTGGCCCCCCAGTCGCCCCGGCCCCCAGAAATCAGTGCCCCTTCGTGCATCGCCCCCACCAGTTGCCTCCCCATCGTGGCCCCCACTGATCCCATACACCCTCGAGCCATGAAAAATCACGACGGAGGTTTTTCGCTATTCTCGGCCTCTGGGGGCCCTCACTGGGCCTCGGGACCGTTAAAAAACAACGCAGGATGAAAAACCGGTCCCGGGGAATGGGTCGAGACCTCTGGGGATCGACGTCGGGGGTCTGAGATTATGGTCCTCCCACGACTCTTCCTGCCAGCAGTGCCGTGTAAAGTTGCGCAGGGGCCAGGGACGGGGCCTTCTTCCGCGAGGGTGTCACGCTTGCTCCTCGGCTGGGAGCTCTGGGATCAGGGGGCCCTCGGCAGAGTTGTTTTGTCACCGTTTCCGAAGACGTTTCTTGAAAAATGGGCACGGTCAAAAGAAGGCGACCGGAAGCGGCAACAAAACGGCTCTGGGGCTGGAGCTAGGCGGTTTCCCCGAAGGGCTTCAACGACCCGTCGCAGCCCGGTCGGAAGTGGCGAGAACGTCAACATTTGCGGAAAACCAGTGGAAATCTTATGAATATGTTATTATTGGGCTCTTTCTTTTGGCTTTCGGTGTTTCAGGGTCTCTTGGGGTCGCCTACGACCCCGGGGGAAACCGCGCAGCTGGAGCTGGAGCCGGAACAGGGAAACAAAAAAACAGCGACGGAACCGTCAGCAACAGCGGCGACGGGACCGGCAAGAAAAACGGCTTAACGAAACCGGTAACAAAAACGGCCGTGTCGTCCACGGGGCTCACTCAGTTTCAGGGATTGACCTCGGGAGGGGTCTAAGAACGGGCCTGAATCAGGAGGGGGACACAGACACAAATGAGCGTCGATTCCGAGGAAAATGTTGACAAAACATGGGAAGTGGAAGAGAAGATGAAGTCCATGGGAAAATATGGGGTGTCCTGGGATTTGCGTCTATTGATTTGTGTGTCCCTGGGCCCCGTCAGTCATGTTAGCTTCTCGGCTGGGAGCTCAGGGATAGACCAGGGGAGGGGTCCCAACGGCAGTTCTTGTTCATTTTGAACAGGATTCGCTGTCCGCGCCGCTGCGGACGTTGCCCATTTGAGTTAGAAGGCCGCCTGCCCAACAGCGGCCGCTGTCGGTTTTGGACAACATTTGCTGCTGGGCATCGTGCCATTTTTTTCCGTACCCATTTCGGGCGTCCAAATTTCGAAGACGAGGGCAACGATCAATCTACCGATCGATCAGCGAATGACCGACGACTAGGTGTCTGTCAGCACGGCTCGGTGCGATCGCATGGGCACCACGTGGGGTTTGCCACCAGCCAGCGCGTGCTGGGCCGCCGCCTCTCGTCCCAACCTATTGTTCGCACGCTTCTGGAGGAAGGCGTCGTCGCCGTCGGAGTGTCGCTGCGCTGCACCTCGTTGCATCGCGTTGCCCACGAATGCCTCCAGCAGAAGCAGGCCCGTCTGTGGGGCTGTGGCTTGCTTGAGAATGCGGTGGGGGACACGCAGCTCGGTGCATTGCTTCGATTGCGGGCACATCAGATTAGAAGCCGGCCGGCCTGCAGGTGCCCCACGAGAATTTCTTGTCCCCCGAATGCCCTTGGGACTCACACAGGCACTCGAGCACCTCAGGAAGCTGAAGGATTTTCGACGAACGTGTCCCGATATTCCCTACAGCATGGCCTCGTCTATTGTATGTGCCAATCGTAGCCAGACCGGCGAAGTGAGGAACATAATGAGGAACCATATGTCTCCACGTCTCATTGCGCCTGCTCTCCTGACTCCGGCTATCGCTCAAACTTGTAACATTGTCGAGAGGACTTGTCGCTGTCTCATTTCCTGTGGCCCTCAAGCCCACCAGCGCACCGAGAAACTGTCCAGAGCAAGGGGATCAAGCGGACGGCAACAAGGGCCAATAATCGGGGGGGGGGCATCGGCATGCCCAGTGCTGCTCCTGGAGTCGGCGTGAATTGCCACCCCGCTTCTCAGGAGTCGCAGACGAATATCCAGGCTCCGAGGAATCGAGAAGTTGACCACTTGCATTTCTTGCCCTCGGCGGGGCCGGCAGAAAGAATGAAGGCGAGGGTAGTTTTGTTGGTGGGGCTTGGCAAGTTGTTTGCCGAAGCCGGCGGATGTAAAATTGCACCCCAAAGAGAGGGCAATGCTAGCATACCCGTAGTCCCTGGAGTCGGCCATTTGTTTCGATGCCATTGGTAGATTGTCCCCCTGTTTCCGTTCGCTTGGGGGGAAGAAAGATGTATCGGGCTTTGGCGGCCCTTGTGGTTGCCGCGGCATCGCTGCATATTGTCGCGGGGGACTTCCGTGTGCAGTTCGACGTCGTCACTGAAGACGGCCCTGGACATTTTGTTGTGAAGGTCCATGAGGATTGGGCCCCGATCGGCGCGGCGAGGTTCAAGGAGCTCGTGGAAGCAAAGGTCTACGATGACATCCGCTTCTTCCGAGTTATCCCCAGCTTCATGGTGCAGTTCGGTCTTAGCGGGGACCCGGCTGTCAATTCCGAGTGGAGGGCCAAGCCGATTAAGGACGAGCCTGTCAAGGAGTCGAACAAGCCAGGGTACGTGACTTTCGCAAAGACAGGCGCGCCGAACTCGCGAACTACGCAGATCTTCATCAACTACGTCGACAACGCGCGACTGGACGGCATGGGATTCGCGCCCTTTGCAGAGGTGGAGGGCGATGGCATGAGCGTGGTGAAGAAGATATACAACTGCGGCGAGAAGCCCAACCAGGGCAGGATCCAGTCGGAGGGGAACGCCTACCTCGATAAGGATCACCCGAAGCTCTCCAAGGTGGTGACCGCGCGCGTGCTCCCAGAGACAGGCGAGCTCTGAGTGCGCTCGCCCGATTTTGTGGCTGCGGGAGACAGCGGCTCGTGGCGTTGCGGCGGTGCCGCGCCGCACCGTAGGAACGGCCGTCTCGCGCTCGCGTGCGCGCGCCGCGAGGAGGAGGGGGGCAGGACATGGAGGAGGAGGAGGAGGAGGAGGAGGAGGAGGAGGAGGAGGAGGACCAGGAGGAGGACCAGGAGGAGGACCAGGAGGGAGAGGACCAGGAGGAGGAGGAGGAGGAGGAGGAGGAGGAGGAGGCCGCCGCAGCCTAAATAGCTCTCCGCCGCGGCCGAGGGGCAACACCCGCGGGCTGGGGGCTCTTTCAGTGGCTGCCGAACCGCTCGGCCTCTGCAGGCAGCAGGGACGAGTTCGACGGTGGGGCGGTCCAGAGAGCGAAAGCAAGCAAGTCGGCGGGCGGGGGATTGCGAGAGACGAAGGGCTCGAGGAGGAAGCAGGGAGAGGAGAGAGCCGGTGGTGACAAGCTAGGTGCGCTCGCGCCATATCTGACATCCTGCCCGTCCCACCCAGCCCTTCCCAATGCGATGATGTTTTCTGTACCCGTCGGCGCGTGTCATAGCGGACCTGGGGCTCCAAAAAAGACATCGTGTTGCGCGCAATCGGGCAAGGGGAGCTGCGTACATTGGAGGAGGAGGTGGCGGATGAGGAGGAGGATAAGCAGGATGAGCATGAGGCGGATGATGAGGATAAAGGGAGGGGTGACGAGGATGAACAGCAGCAAAAGGAGTTGGAGTGGAAGGATCGGGAGAAGCAGGATGACCAAGGGAAGGCGGAAGAGGGTGACGGAGGGGGACGACATCGACGACGAAGACATTTGATCTAGACAAGTAGCCGGTGCTGGGGTGATAGCGCCAATTTGAATGACGGGAAGAAAGCCCCGAATGAGGCCCACGCTGCAGCTGGAGCATCATTTTGGGAGGACCGGGAAGAATAGGATTGAAAAGTAGCACATACGAATGGATTTGTTTCGAGCTGTCCCCACAGACACCTTCGGCGAATGTTCCCGACGGTGCGCGTGCCTACTGGAACGATGCGCGGCTGGCCCCGTGGTCTCGGCCAGCGCGACGATCGGGCCACGTCGCAAGTTGCCGTTGTCCTAGAAGTCGAACAAGCCCAGAGCTCCAGCCGAGAAAAGCCGAAACAAGCCCTGGAGCGAACCAAAAAAACCCAAACGCGTGGTGCGAGACCCCGAAATTTGTTCGGAGAGAACCTGCAGCCTGTTCACAGGGGAGGGGCAGCAGCGGAACGGGGAGGAGGAGCAGGCGTTCGTCTTCACTTCTGTCGTTCTCGTATGCGAAGGTATGCTATGTTATGCTCACCTCTGTCGCAATGTGCTGCGACTTGTTATGCTGTGGTACGTGATATGTTATGCCAGGTTATGTTTTGTTATGCTGTGTTCAGTAATGCTGTCGACGGTTGGCACAGTCCCGTATATATACGTATGACATGTTATGCCATGTTATCAAGTAGTCGTTGATGCGCCTGTTGGCTCCTGTCGCCAGTTTGGCCTCGGCGCGCACGTCGCGCTTGATCTATCGAACAGTATGGTATAATATGTGATGGCAGTTATCTTCATGTATCTTGCGATCTTCTGTTAAATATGCTCTCGTGTGCTCACCTCTGTCACTGTATGCTTTGATATTGTATGGCATATTGGTTTGCCATGCTATGTTATGTCAGGTTGTGTTGTATTATGTTCAGTGATGTTGTTTATGCGGCGATCAGTTCACTGTAGCATGTTATGTGTTGTCATGTATCGACACGTATCTTAGAGAACGGTATTCTTTATGTTGTTATAAAAACCGTTGCCGTAGCGGTAGCACCAGTGTCGAAACTATAGTATTATATGTTGGTTACGGTGTGCCATGTCCATGGTAGGGTGTTCTGTTTTGTTATGGTATCATACTTCTCTGCACCAGGCTAACGTACTTGATGGTATAGTATATTCGTTGCCTCCGTGGTAGTTATTGAAACACGCCTCTGGTACGGTGTGTTATGATATCGTATGTTGTATGCTTTCGCATCTCCACTATGGCAACGTATGTTTTATCATGTTACGTTGTGCTCGATGCTGCGTTCTGTCATGCTCTGTTTCGTCATGGCATGGAGCTGTGTGTTCGGTCATGTTGTGTTATTTTGCTATAGCATGACGCGTTGTGTCGCTATATGCGTTGTCATAGTGTTGCATCCCCTGTGCTGTGCTGCTGTGACAGGTTCTGCTCCGTTCTGCCATTGCATGACTAGGTGATACTTTGGAATGCCATGGTGTAGTCTGTTATGCTCCGTTGTGCTATGCCATGATGTGCGGTGTGTTGCTCAAGTCTGTGCGATCCGCTCTGGCATTGCAGGCTCTGTTGTGCTGTGTGCTTTTATTATGCGGTATGCCACTCTCACCAGCGTCGACACCTCATCCGACGTTAGCGCCACAACGGCCGTCGACATCCGCATCGACACCAACATCGACACCAGCACTGGCACCAGCCTCGACTCCCGCTCCGACCAGGTCACCGACCCCTGCACCGATCAGCTCGCCGTCTCCCTCGCCGACCATATCACCGACTCCCGCACCGACCAGGTCACCGACTCGTGCACCGACCAGCTCGCCGACTCCCTCGCCGACCATATCACCGACTCCCGCACCGACCAGGTCACCGACTCCCGCACCGACCAGATCACCGACTCCCTCGTCGACCGTAACACCGACTCCCGCACCGACCAGGTCACCGACTCCCGCACCGACCAGATCATCGACTCCCGCACCGACCAGGTCACCGGCTCGTGCACCGACCAGCTCGCCGACTCCCTCGCCGGCCATGTCACCGACTCCTGCGCTGGCCAGCTCACCGACTCCCTCACCGACTAGGTCACCGACTCCAGCGCCGATCAGCTCACCGAGTCCCGCGCCGGCCAGCTCACCGACTCCCGCACCGACCAGGTCGAACAGCTCGATGACTCCGGCGCCGAGTGGCTCGCCGACTCCCGCATCGACCAGCTCTCCGGCTGCCGCGCTGAACAACTGGGCGGCTCCCACGCCGATCAGCTCATCGACTCCCGCGGCGACCAGCTCGTTGACTCCGGCACCGACCAGATCGGGACCTGCCGCACCGACCAGCTTGGCGGCTCCCTCCCCGACCAGGTCACTGACTCCCGCGCCGGCCAGCTCGCCGACTCCCTCGCCGACCAGCTCGCCGACTCCCGCACCGACCGGTTCGCGGCCTGCTCCTTCATCGACCAGCCTCCCGGCTCCCGCGCCGACCAACTCATCAACACCAAGACGCCTCGGCCCCAGAACCAACAAAATGACACCAATACGCCTCAAACCAACAAACTGACACCAGACTCTGGCTCCCGAGGGGAGGACGAGGTGAGGAAAAAAGGTGGTTTCAACTGCAACCGCCTCCCTCGCCGTCCCGCTCACCGACTCCAGCACGGGCCAGCTCGCCGACTCCCGCGCCGACCAGATCGCCGACTCCCGCACGGACCAGCTCTCGAAGTCGCTATCCAGGGGCGGCTGCCGCGCCAACCAGCTCGGTGGCTCCTTTGCCGACCAGGTCACCGATTCCAGCATCGCTCCGCTCACCGAATCCCGCACCGACCAACTCGCCGACTCCAGCGTCGACAGATCACCGACTCTCATGCCGACCAGGTCGCCGACTCCCGCACTGCCCAGCTCACCGACTCCGGCGCGGTCCAGCTCGCCGACCCCGGTGCCGACCAGATCGCCGACTCCCGAGCCGTCCAGCTCGCCGACTCCCGCACGCACCAGCTCGCCGACTCCCTCCCCGTCCACGGCCAAATTCTGTGCACGACCCCGGAGCGGGACGTTGTGCAGGCGGGTCATTGGAAGTACCGGTACACCTGTACCCGTCTCCAACCACCCATCGGCCTCTATCCTCTTCGGGAACGGCTATCACAAGAAGGACCTCCGCTACCGGCTCATCCAAATCTACTTCCTGCTTTCGTGTGTTCGCTGCCTGTTTTGTTCTGTCGTCCGTTTCTTCCCTTGTCCGCTGCCGTCTCTTCCTCTTTCGCTCTGTTGGCTCCTTCCCCCTCTTGTCCCCTCCTCTGTTTTTTTCCTGCCCGTGAGGGACCAATGTGGGAGTGCCGCTGGCAATGCCTTGTAGGTGTACGCGCGCGCGGGCTCCCCCTCTTCACGCGCTCGCGTGGGACAATTTAGCGGTTGTCTCCGGCGAAGTCTGGGGTAGCTGACGCATGCACGAGTTGTGCACTCCTTTTGCTTGTTCCTTGCTGTTCCTTCTTGTCCTTCTCCTTTTTCACTCTGGCGTGTTACCCGCTTGCTTGCCAGACGCTCCTCCGTTACACGCGGTGGCACAGCCTCGTTGTGGTGATGTACAGCGCCCTGGAATCATGGCGTCATCGTTGCCAGGCGGGGAAAATATACGGTATGCCATGTTACATACTATATCATGGTATGTACCGCTATGGTTGCATGCGATGTTACGCTATGTTGTTTTAAAATGTGTCATGCCGCGCGCTGGCATGCCAGGCTTTACATGTCACGGAATGTTCGGTCATGATATTGCGTGTATTGGTAGGATGTTGCATTTCAGTGTATGGCATGTTATTCAATGCGATTGCATGTTATGCTATGGCATGACATACCGTGTGTTAGTACGTGAAAACGTGCATGCTCCGCTCGTTCATGTCATGCGGTGTTATGTTGTGGCATGATGTGTTGTGTTATATAATGGTATGGTTTGTTCCTGTATTGTGTTATAGCATGCTTCGTTCGATTAAGCTCGGATTTGAGGAAGTCCGCGTGGAACTCACGTCATCCTGACCCCCGGCGTGCGTGAAAGTTGCTTCCCAGTGCGCCCCCAGGGACCATTTCTGGCGATGCGCCGGGCCCGCCAGGCGCGCCGGGCGTGTCCCGATCCGGCGCCCTCGCTCGAAACATCCTAACAAAATCGCCCAACGGGCCCCCAGCGCACCACCAGCTCCAGGGTTTCTGCCTGCAGGCCTGGGGG